TTCACTGGTCATGTTCATGGTGTGTCTCTAGGGGCAGGCTCATAAGGGCACTACGGGGAGGCTCCGAATGAAGAAATGTGATGTTCACACTAGGACCTGAAAGATGTGTCTAGTTAATAAGTGGACAGGGAGAGCAGGTCGTTAGACAAAGAGGAGTGTAGCTGATGTCAGTTACCAGGGGAGGAAATGTTGATTCAGGACTGAGAGGCAAAGGGACCTGGCCAGAGGATGGGGTCCCAGAAGGTGGTTTAAGGATCAATGTGGGTACACACAGTTGTGTTGTCAGCCCAGTGGAGGGGCCTCACGGGGCGCTGTTGGGAGCCAGATTGTCAGCTTTTGGATTTATCAGCTGTGGGTGGCAGTGAGTACGTAACTCAGCATCTTGCTGCCTCAGTTTTCTTCATCTGTAAAGCAGGGATAATAACATTTACCTCATAGAGTTCCTATGAGGATTTGATGATTTGACAGGTCAGTTGCTTAGCATAGGTCCCGGAACTCAGAAATGTCCACTGTTAGGAAGGCTGGGGGGCCTCACTGGCACATCAGGACATAGGACATCAGGACGTACATCATGGGTCCCAGGGAAAGGAAAGACACCCCCAGGTGTTCGAGATCGATTCCGAATCTCATGGGACCCTGCATTGTTCGCTTCCTCATTCATTCACTTGTCCGTTCATGTATTCAGTAGTGGCATAAGCATACTGCTCGGGCCAAACCTGAAAACCTCACCCACTCTCCTCCGACACTGTCCCTCCCCAGGGCACATTCGCCTCCCAGGTGACGCTGGAGGGGGACAAGTTGAAAGTAGAGCGGGAGATTGACGGGGGCCTGGAGACCCTGCGCCTGAAGCTGCCGGCCGTGGTGACGGCCGACCTGAGGCTCAACGAGCCCCGCTATGCCACGCTGCCCAACATCATGGTGAGCCCCTGGCTGGTGGGCACTGAGGGCCTGGGGGTGGCAAGCACGTTGCAAGTTCAGTGCCCCCTGGTGGTTGGATGCGAGGAGGGAAGGATCCACGGGAGGTTTTGTGCAAAGGAAGCCGTCACCTGGTCATTTGGCTGATAGAGAGGGTTTGTTGGGTCATCTCTGCCAATACTGAGAGTTAATGGGTGCTGCTTTGGCTAACAGGGAGGGCTTGCTGGTATCTAGGCCAGTAGAAAGGCTTCACTGGGCAGCAGAAAGTGTTCCCTTTGTCATTCCCGCCAGTGGAACAAGTTCATTGGGTCATCTTGGCAAATAAAGAGGATTCACTGGGTCATCTTGGTTCATCAGGGAGGGACCCCTTGGTAATCTTTGCTGATGTGAAGTTATCATCTTGGCTAATTAGTAAGGATGCATGGGGTCTCTTGGCTAACAAGGAGAGATCACTAATCATGGCCAGTAGGCTGGGTTCACTGGATCATCTTGACCAATATTAAGAATTTAGCGGGTCATCTCAGCCAACAGGGAGGGTTCCTTGGATCCTCTCAGCCAATGGGAAGAGTGCAATGAGTCATTGCAGCCATTACAGAGTGTTCACTACATCATCTCAGCCTATAGGGAGGGTTCACTGCATCATCTCAGCCTATAGGGAGAGTTCACTGCATCATCTCAGC